TATATATATATATATATATATATATATATATATTAGTAGTGCTGGTTTTTGACAACATAAGAGCTTGCATCAAAATGTAAATAAAGGCACTGCTTTCTTCATCGAGAAAGTCTTACTATGAAAAAAAGTCAGCTTAACTAGGCAGTGTGCTTAGTGATGTAGTTGATTTATAGTACACACTCATGGTGGCCCTGCAATAAACAATTCACAGACGAGCATTGGTCTGGGGACCACAGTTTGAGTAGCATTAGTATATAGTATATACTATATAATATATATCCATCCATTTATACCCTTCTCCATCTTGTATCATCAAAGATTTCAGAGACTAGAGCCGGCCCGGTGGCGCACTGCTACAGTGCGCCGCTTGGGAAGCGTGGCGGCGCTCCCGCCGAGGGTTCGGATCCCACATACAGACTGGTTCCCGCTCACTGGCTGAGCGAGGTGCGGGCGCAGCACCAAGGTTTGCGATCCCGTTGCCGGTCCCCGTCCGGCATGGGCGCGACACTGAGGGTTGCGATCCGTTGCCGGACACGAAAAAAGTCAAAAAGGAAAAAAAAAAAAGATTTCAGAGACTAAGTAATATATACTTAGAAAAAGCAACATGGACAGCTTTCAGTTATTCATATCATCTCCTGGTCTTCAAAAATAAAAGATAATCAAGCGGTCATTTCTTTTTGTTCTGGGATGCACTGTGCTTAGACTGTGTGGCATTGCACTCTGTGCAAAATACCAAATGCACAGGGTCAGGTCCAGGCTCAGGGCAGGAGAGGAGGAAGACTCCTCTCAGTCCAGGCCAAGCATTTTGTCTTCTCTCATATTTTCTCTGGCCCAAGGCAAAGGGGCTGCTGTCAAAGCACTCCCCTGCAGCTACCCGAGGAGGGAACTCACTATCATCTGAAATGCAGAACCTGGGCCTTGCCATTATACTGACAAAGCAAGGGAAGCACTGTGATGCATTTTGCTCCCAGATACAAAGAGCTGGTGTTGGGGCTAAGTTACTTCCATACTAATCAGGGACAACCAGGTTCCCACCTTTTGAAATAACTTTTCAGGCCAGCCCGGTGGCGCACTGCTACAGTGCACCGCTTGGGAGCGCAGAGACCCTCCCGCCGAGGGTTCGGATCCCACATACAGACCGGCCGCTCACTGGCTGAGCGAGGTGCGGGTGCAACACCGAGGGTTGCGATCCCGTTACCTGTCCCGGTCCGGTACGGGTGCGACACTGAGGGTTGCGATCCGTTGCCGGTCACGAAAAAAGACAAAAAGAAAAAAAATAATAATAATAACTTTTCAGAGATTAAACCCCTTCATGCACTGTAAACTCACTGAGTTATTTCAGAATTTAGTGTGCTTTGGGGCCGGCCCAGTGGCGCACTGCTATAGTGCGCCGCTTGGGAAGTGCGGCGGTGCTCCCGCCAAGGGTTCGGATCCCACATACAGACCGGTTCCCGCTCACTGGCTGAGCGAGGTATGGGCGCAGCACCGAGGTTTGCGATCCCGTTGCCGGTCCCGGTCCGGTAC